TTTTTTCACTTTTACCCGATGTATTCCAGCATCCAGCTGCCATGCACGTGGGCATTGTCAGTTTCACTATAGCTCTGGTGAATTTTTTAAATTAATTAAATCACTGCAAATGTATTAGTTTTTTTCCTTTTAAATAACTGATTAGTTGGGGTTTGTTTTTATTTATTAAGCAGAAAATCTTTATCTACTGGATTAAGAAAGTTTGCTTTTTGCCATGCAGCTAAATCTCAAGACAGCACAATCATTACATCTGATTTAAAGATTCAAAGGAAAGTTAACTTACCTCTCTCCACTCCTTAGTACCAAGAGCTTGAACATACAATATGACCACTGAAAAGAGAGAGAGAAAACGGCATTATTTTTTTAGGTTATTTTATGATATTAAAATGTTCTTGTAGAAAATCCTTGCAAATCTTACACTGAAGTAGCAACTGATGTTTGCAAGAGGTCTGACAACAAAAAGAGCGCTATCCTCATTTCTTATTTATCTTTTTTTTTAAAAACATAACCTCATTTTAGATTAGTCATTTTGATCAAATGTATGCAAAATATGATTTATATAAAACATTCATTTTGTCATGATTTTTTCTAAGGCAGAACCAACCAAAACAGCTCTGCTTACATTGGATAAATAAAGCACACTGACTACACCCTGGCTTCCTTCCATGTTGCTCTCCATTGTTTACTTTCCTGATTTCTGTCACGCTGGTGTTATTATCAACTCTAACCCACTGAGATGGCGTCAACAGACACGCAGCAGTAAGGGGGCAGAGGCCACGCGGCTATCAGCGAGAGGTTAGACAAACTTTTTATGGCAGTGGGAAGGGAACCAAATGCCGACTGTCAGCGGGTCGACCCACGTCTAAAAAACACGCGTCCACCCACTTTTTTCAGTGGAAAAGAGGCTCTAGACTGAAATTTCAGCTGTCTTATCAAGTAGTCAGCAGCACAGGACTACTATATAGGAACTTTTTACTCTGTACACCTCTGACTTCCAGGACCAGACAGAGTTCTGTCATCTGCAGAAATACTGGGATGACTCTGCACTCATTGGGTGCATCAAAGACAGACAAAGAACTCAGTACAGATTGCCAAAGAAACTTTTTATGAAATGGTATGGTTTTCAAAGAATTAGTTCCACTCTCCTCTATTGTGCAATTAGAGTTTTTTTTTGAAAAAGTCAAACCACCCTAAGTGAGCCTGGAAGCATTTAAGTTTAATTAAGAAACTGATTCAATTGCAGGGTTTAAAAGTTCCCAACTCATGATGTTCTTCCACTGTATGGCCCAACGCTCTGATGCGATCTACCTGCTCACACTTCACATCCAGAAACCATAAGCTTGACTCAGCACCGAGAGATGGCGCTAGTCGGACTCGTCAATCTGGAAGAGGAAGAGGAATTTCCTTGTTTTCACAAGTGCAGTGAGGGAAATTCTTGTAAAAACGTAGACGCTTGTAATAGTTTCAGCAGCAGGATTTGCTCACCAACACCTCACAAGGGCCGACTGAATTTCTCTCAAACCTTTCAATTCCTGATCGGGAGGTGGTCGTAAGAAGCTAATAATCTCTCGTTTACCCGTGTACTACACGACGCAGGACGCACAATAAGGCTGAAACTCAGCCTCATCAAAAAAACTCTCACATGACTCAAGGATTGTCCCAAAAAGGGCAAAAACTCCTCCTGGGTACACCTGGCCTTAGCAGTAGCAGAGCATGTGTGTGTCAGAGCAGAAAGTATGAGGTCCATGAACTTGTGCAAGAGCAGAAGCTTAAGCAGAACAGCATGAGAGAGGCTGAAGTTCCCTTTCAAACCAGATTGCTGACCAAGAATGTGCAAATAGTACAATTAACAGCAACAAGCACTTTGACTGAAGCAGAGAGCTGGTTCCTTCAATCAGACACAGCTCCAAATGTCCGGCGAACAAGCATATTGCAGTGTTGGCCTGAAAAGAAAGCATTTCTCCAGATGTTAACGCTTGAAGCTAAAGCAATTAAAGTGTTCTAGTTTAAAAGAAGAGTGATTGGTAATTATATACTAAAAAAAACCTTGGAATAATGGGTTAAAAATATGAAATGTTCTTAATCTTTCTACTGCCAGCTGGAGGTCAGACAAGGATCAAAACACTGATTCATCCAGTGAGACACCAGATTGAGGGTTACCCTGATCGCCATCACAAAGCAGGTCCTGATGAGAGAAGGACAAGGGAGTTTGAAGCTGTCTGAGTGTAGTTTGTTCCTCCGTTTTCTCTTTCCTTTTCCTTGGTGAGCTTAAGTGGAAGCTAATTTTAAGGGGATCTTTGTGTTTCAGCCTTGAAGCTTTCTTTCTCCAGTTCTTTTCCTCAGAAGAGATCACTCTGGACAAACTCTTTAAATAACACTTCATAATGTTTACGTATTAAATAACCAGGAGACATGACAGCAGAACAGAAAAATATAATCTTACTCAGATTAGAGAAGTTGCTTAGTTACAGAAGGCAGCGCCACATCACCAGGCTCACATCTCATGAAGTTGCCCCGAATCACAGTTAAAGAAGCATTTAATACAACTCCAGTCTGCCACATCATCACATCATTACATCATCATATCATAGTCGTTTGCAGATAAGGAGATATCCATGGCTCCAGCCTCATGAAAATATTACAGTGTCCCAGATAAAAACACAGAGAACTCACTGTTGACAATCATCCACTCTGGCTGTGACCCCATTTCATTCCCAAATCTCTGTTATGTACATAATGAAGATGATAACTGTGTATCCTGACAGAAGAACCATCCTAATTAGATAAACTGGATGGGAAAACATTGGTTTTTGTTAGAAATATTTTATTTATACTCCTATTGTGTTTCATGGGTTGTGTACTAATGAACTTTTATGAT